GGGGGGGTGTGGGGGTCCGTCTGCTCCTCTAGGCGGGGAGGTCTCCCTGGTGTGGACGTGAGTGTGGAGGCGGCATAATCTGCAGCATCTCCCTGAGGTCCGCGTGCGTGTGCGAGTGCGTACACAAGTGCGAATGTGTGCGTGTGCATGTGAGTGTGTATGCGAGTGCAAGGGTGTGCGTGTGCGAGTGTGTGGGTGTGAGTGCAAGTGTGCATGTGCGTGTTCAAGTGCGAGTGTGTGTGCGAGTGCGAATGAGTGTGCGAGTGCGAGTGCGAGTGTCTGTGCTGGGTGTGAGACCTCACACAAGAACCTCACCCACTCCCAGCTGCCTTCCTGCCCAGGCTCCGGGAAGAGGCGTCCGCGCTGAGAGCCAGCTGGGACGCGCAGCTTGCTCAGCTGTCGAAGGAGACAATCTCCAAGGACCTGCAGGTCCAGTCGCTGCAGGAGGACGCGGTGCAGCTCCGGGCTCAGCTGGCCCGGTGCCAGCAGGACGTGGGCAGGTGATATCCCCTCAGACCTCGTCATGGCGCCCCCTCTTCATGCCACTGAGTCCCTATTCACATCCTGTTGGGGAAGAAAGACAAGAAACAGCAAACAGATGGAAATAGGTTTTCTCAGTTCTTTCTGTCTTCAGTCTCTACCTCCGCTCACCCTTGTTACAGTCTTTTGTCTGTTCCCTTCGGCTTTAACTTGAGCTCTTTTGGTGGCCTCCACTGGTGGAGTCATAGCCTATAACTTTGCACCGTTCCCCTTTTCAAAGAAATAGAAGCATTTAATGCTGGGAATGTTCTTCCAAGCACTGCTTAGCTGTATCCCACAGATTTTCATAGTATTCCGTTTTCCCTTGTGGCTTTTCCTTGGTCCGTGGGTCACTTCTTTTAAGTTCAATTGATTGGGGTGACATTGGTCAACATGAGCATACAGGTTTCACATGTAGGTTCTATGTGACGAGATCTGTATGTTGCCCTGTGTGCTCACCACCCAAAGCCAGATCTTTTCCTGTCACCCTGTATTAGGCCCCTCCCGCCAGGTCCATGGTTATTTAGAAATGTGTTGCTTAATTCCCCTTTATTTTGGGATTTCCAGATACCATTTTGTTACTATCGATTTCTTTAAAAAAAAATGATTTTATTGATTTTTTTTACAGAGTAGAAGGGAGAGGGATAGAGAGTTAGAAACATCGATGAGAGAGACACCTCGATCAGCTGCCTCCTGCACACCTCTTACTGGGGATGTGCCCACAATCAAGGTCCATGCCCTTGGCCGGAATTGAACCTGGGACCCTTCCATCCGCAGGCCGATGCTCTATCCACTGAGCCACACCGGCCAGGGTGTCACTACTGATTTCTGACCTAATTCTGTTCTGGACAGAACATTTTCTGTGCGTATTTGTTTTGTGGCTTGAGGGTGGGACTGTCTGATGGGGACCCGCTTGGGCTGTGTGAACACCGTCCAGGCCCGGGGGGCGGGCCACGGAGGTCCCGCCTCTGTCCTGGCAGGTTTCTGCCGGCTGCCGACAGGTGTGAAGTCTGTTGTTTATGGCCCTGGGGGCGGGGACGATGGTCACGTCCACGGTTCTGACTCTGGCCCGTAGGTACCAGCGGGAGCTGTCTCTGGCGGTGGAGAGGGAGCAGAGCCTGGAGCGGGACAAGGTGCAGCTGGGCCTGGACTGGCAGCGGCGCTGCGAGGGCCTCGAGCGGGACCACTACCAGCAGCACGAGGGGCTGGTGCAGGGGCTGGCCTCGGCCAGGGCACAGGTGCGCGGCGGCGTGTCCCAGGCGGCGTGGGCCCTTTCATGCGGAAACACTGGTCCCCATGGAGCAGTTGGACTCAACATCGAAAGTTGTGATCAGTGTGTCCCTGCTCTGCCCACCAGCCTCGCCCCGTGTTTCATTAGCTGTTTCTCCCACTGACCCGTGCTGGGCGGTTCCCACGTCCACATGCAGCCGGTCGGGCAGCGGGGTGGTGGGGCCGGGAGGGACGGCTACGTCCGGAGTCCGCCGCTGCCCAGTGCTGCAGGGATGCCCGTCACCATGTGTCTCCGTGGCACTTCTCCTTGGGCATCTCTGGCTGCCTCTTCGGAGCTGGCATGGACTGAAGCTGGCACTGCTCCTAAGGTGATGGGTCCGCATTTACCCAGGTCGCTGCCAAGCTCCAGGAGGCGGAGCAGAGGCTGCGAGACCAGGAGGTGGTGCTGAGGGCCCTGACCCTGGAGAGAGACCAGGCCCTGCAGGCCCTGAGGGACTACGGGCTCAGCCCGCAGCAGGAGGTGCCGGTGAGTGCCCCTGCCCTCCCTGCCCCCGGGTCTAAACCTGCTGCCGGCACCGCCCTGGGCTCCTTTGTCCCCTTGTGCTGGAGTTTGAGCACGCGTTGTTTCCCCTCACTGTCTTCTCTCTGATCTGCTCCGAGGCCTGTCCTACCCGTCGGTCTTTGTTTCAGATGATGTATTTTTCATCTCTGTAGATGCCGTGTGGTTCTTTTTTCCCCTTTAATACATTTTTATTGATTTCAGAGAGGAAGCGAGAGGGAGAGAGGGATAGAAACATCAGTGATGAGAGACTCCCTGACCGCCGCCTCCTGCACGCCCCCCACTGGGGAGGGAGCCCGCCACCTGGGCCTGTGCCCCGACCGGAATCGACCTCGAGCCGTGCTGGCCAGGCCGGCCGGGCCGTACTTGGTTCTTGCCCTGCTCTTGTTTTTCCTCGGGCCCCTGAGCAGGTGGCAGTGATGGTGCCTTAAGCCCTGGACTATCCCTCGCACCATCTTTCTGGTTCATCCCTGTCCGTGCTGAGCCGCAGTCCCCTGGGTCCTGTTCTGTGGGCTCAGGCATCCCTGGGGGACATTAGAGGGCACCCACATTCTGACTGTTGCACGTTTCTGTGTGGGCTCACCCTCCGTTCTCCTGGGCCTGCCCTGGGAGCGCCCTGCGGGGCAGAGAACAGCCACGGTCCCAGTGCATGGGGTCCTTTCTCCACGTCCTGGCTGCTGCGTCTTTACTGTCACGGGCACCAGCCGGGACTAGTGACTCTTTGACTGAAAAGGACGAGCCCCCCCAAAAACAGTCTTGCTTGTGAAACAGAAGGAAAAGAGATCTTCACACTCCTCTTCACTTAGGAAGGGAGGGAGGTGGCTGCAGGGTTTGACAGAGGACGGATGAGGGGCACGGGGAGCGGGGTGAGGGCAGCACCCACAGCCATCGCCTCTTCCTGGACGTGACAGGGGCTCCCTCGGCATCACGGGGGAGAGGCGAGCGCACGTTTCCCGTCCGGCGAGATCCAGCGGCTGCAGGAGCAGAACGCCAGCCTGCGGAGCGTGGTTGCGCAGATGAGGGCCGAGATGGAGGCTCTGAGCGAGCAGGCGCTCCCCCCTGCCCAGCCAGCAGGAGGCACAGCAGCCGCCGGCACCCCTGCAGAGGCTGCCCCCGGTGAGCGAGGGAGACCAGCCGCCCTGGGCTCTGAGAGGTGCATGTCCCTTCAGAGACGGCTTTAAAGCCCGCAGCCGCCTGCCGCCAGGGGAGGGGTCTTACGTCAGTTCTACATGTAGGATAGAAACTTATTGGTGAAGCGGAAGAGAAAAGGGCGGGTGCTCACTACCTCCGGAGCAGGACCGCGCCAGCTGGGGTGGCCAGTTCAGCACCCCGCCCGGTTCAGGGGGGCCCTAGGGCTGTGGGTGCTGCCTGGATGGGTTGGGTCCCAGCTGCTGAGCCTTCCCCGCAGAGCCTGGCCAGCTGCTCCCTGGACGCTGCGCTCTGGGCACGAGGGGAGGGAGGCACGTGGGTGCCGACACTGAGGGGCGGGCAGGGCAGGGGGCAGCCGCTGCAACTGGGGGAGCGTCCACCCCTGTGCGCGTGTTTACAGGCGTTTTTTTTGGTCAGATTATGTTCTGGCTCTGGAAGCAGAAATACGAAATCTGAAGGGTAAGTTTAAAACCCTGGAAGAGCAGCTGGGAGGCGCACTGGAGCCTTCGAAGACACCCTCGTCTCTCGCTGACGTCCAGCCCGGCGTCTGTACCGCCGACGCCCCCGGTGAGAGTCCAGTCGCGGGTTGAGGGCCCTGTCCCAGCAGCGTCACCCCAGTGCAGACACAAGCTCAGGCCCCCATTCCCAGCCCCAGGGCCAGCCGCTGTCCCCACGCCCCCTTCCCATCGCTGTCCCCACGCCCCCCTTCCCATCGCTGTCCCCTCACCGGCGGAGCACCAGTCCTGCCCCTCCACAGCCCTCACAGCAGGCTGCCCTCACTCTTCCCTCTCTCTCTCTCTGTGGGGCCCTCCAGTCACTCCTCATCCCACTGAGGGGACAGGAGAGACAGGGATGACTTCTCGCTGGGCAGGCGGAGCCTGACGGCCTCTCTCTGCAGGAGGGGCTGTGCCCGCTGGTGGCGCATCCCTGGGGCTGGCGCTCAGGCGGCTGGGAGACAGGACACGTCTGCTGAGCTTCCTGGTGGCTCGGCTCCGAGAGAAGGTACCGCCTGACCTGTGCCTGCGGGTCTCTGCTGGGTGCCCCTGGGCGGGCAGCTGGGGGCGGGAATCTGATTGAAAATACATTTCACTTCCTGTTCATGGGACCACAGCTCTGCAAGCACACGTGGGCGAGGGGGTCACATCTGCGATGCTTCCCAAGCCTGCCGCGTGGAGTCTCAGGCGCACACGCAGACATATGCGCGCACACATATGCACACACACACACGCACGCGGGGGCAGGGTCACGGTCGGGCTCTCTCTTTGTCCTGGAACCACAGCCTGGGACATGTCCACCTCCGCGTGGTTTTATTTTTAATTAACGGTCTGTCTCCAGTGCCCCCTTGCTAGCATATGTGACAAGTCCCA